TATATCAGTCTTAAAGGTACAGTAACAATAACAGCCTGTTTAATTTGAAGGGAATAAGAAAAGTTGGAAAATTATTATGTGAAAACGAACTAAGGAACTACTTTTGGTACAAATTATACATAGTTGGACCTCAGAAGAAAAAATGAACTACAAGGAAAATGGGAGATATGAGCCCTTCGTATTGTCATTGTGCTCATAGTTTCATAGCCTTTTTTTACAGAATGATCAATCTAAAGAAACTAATGTGGGAACAAGGAATTTAACTGGCTCAAATAAGTAGATTAAAAGAAACAATATAAAGTTAAATGAATAAGTAAGAACAAATTTAATACTTTACATCAATTCAAATCAACTTCCGAGCTGCTCCACTTTTTACAGTGTTGAACTTGTCACTACAGTTTTGCTGGAGCATTTTGTTCATTCCAATTTGCTCGCGACCTCAGAAGAACTAAATATCATGATACACGTATCGTGAAAATACCTTGGGGTTTCGTGATGGTATATTTTGTGCCATATGGCCCACCCTTAGCTGTCTCCTGTGGGAAATCATATCATTGGAGTAGATTTAAGCCACGTTTGGAAAAACAGTTCTAAATCAGCAGAAGGTATTTGACTGCAGCCTGTTTAAAACAGAAATGAAAAAGAAACATCTTGCGTTATTTATTCTTCGTTACAAGGTCAGCACTCTGGGCCGAGACCCAGAAGGGAAAAGGTAAATAAGTGGGGAAGAATGCAGCGCAAGTAAACATCAGACCAGAATTTGGAAGGTAAGCGTATCTGTCTCTCCACCCCATTTCCTCCATTTTCATTTCCCCAACAGCACCGTCCATGCATGTCGAGTCAATAAAAACTTAACGTGGAATTTCCTGTTAGTTCATACCACTAAAGTCAGCTAACATCAGCATAGGTTCTCCTCACTTTTCATTCTGCAGCTGCTCTTAGTTTTCATGATCTGCTGAAAGTCATAACTCTCTGAAGTGCTCCCGCAAGCAGCTCGAGTGCAATTCCCACTGGGCTTCAATGAGCGCAATAAAATGTGAAAAGTAGATGACATAACTTTGCTCATCCAAAGCAAACGTCCCTGCTGCAGTTCAGACATCAGAGTGGAATCTGAAGTGTTTTATTAAAGCATGGTTTCCCATTCAGAGCTATATCTGAACGTAAAGGTCATTCTACATCAACTCATCTAACCCTAACCTTAACCTCAACCCAAAACCTAACCCTAATCCTAATCCTGGCCCTAATTCTCACCCTAAACTTAACCTCAACCCATAACCTAATCCTAACCTTCATATTGTCGCTGTCCAAAGAAAAACATGTATCTCCATTTTTTGCAATTTTCACTTTTCTACATCATTTGAAGCATGGCAGGCATTACACGCATTGTGTGAAAATTTCATGATGAATGGACCAATAAAAATGCACCAAAATTGCTTAGAAAAAAATCTCCTTCCATTGACTTACAATAAAAGTAAAGAGTGTTTTTGTCCTTTTGTAAAGTTACTATTTTGGAGATGTTGGACATGTTTTTCTTTGGACAGCGACGATATGTTTTTGACATGTTACTGAAGATCCGTTGTGCGTTTGTTTCATTTAAAAAGGAGCATTAAAAAAATTGTCACTTTTTAAGCTACGACATGGGTTCAAAATGACTTCACAACTAAGAATCCATTTTACCCTATATTCTCTGAAGTGAGAAAATAAAGTCTAAATTTCAAAGATTAATTATTGAATAATTGGATCTAAAAATACTGAATATTCTGACCTAGATACGTCAAAAATACTGAATAATCTGACCTAGATACTTCAAAACATACTGAATAATCTGACCTAGATATGTCAAAAAATACTGAATAATCTGACCTAGATATGTCAAAAAATACTGAATAATCTGACCTAGATACTTCAAACAATACTGAATAATCTGACCTAGATATGTCAAAAAATACTGAATAATCTGACCTAGATAATTCAAAAATACTGAATAATCTGACCTAGATATGTCAAAAAATACTGAATAATCTGACCTAGATATGTCAAAAAATACTGAATAATCTGACCTAGATACTTCAAACAATACTGAATAATCTGACCTAGATATGTCAAAAAATACTGAATAATCTGACCTAGATAATTCAAAAAATAATGAATAATCTGACCTAGATACTTCAAAAAATTAACCAGTAGATTTAAAGTGAAATACATTAACCTTAGTGTCATATTTACAGTTGTAAATGCAACACTAAGATTACAAAGTTTGAATATTCCCAGTCAAATTAAATCTTGACGATTTTCTAATTAAGCCTTAGAAACTTAAATATCGAATTTTTTAGCAATTTTAGTGCACAATTTCTATGTATTTGCTGAGTTTAACATGTTGGAAACAAATAAAACATTACATATAAAACGTGCCATAACTTATGCACAGGCTTCATTTTATGTGCCCCCCTGTCCCCTGATATGGTAAATTTAGAAAAATAAACAGTAATTGTGCATTAAAATGTGCAGAAGTGCAATCTCTGTCAAATCATCAATCTCTTATTTTAAATTTAGAAAATCAACAAAAACGGTTTGACGTGCACAAACGTTTGCATTTTTGAATTTCACTGCACTCACACAAACAGCAATCCAACCCAAAATAATCATATGGGACACATTAATGTATCTGAAATGGTGCATTTTATTCTATGAAACAAAGGACCACATACTGAGCATTGGCATTTTTCTAGTGATCACCAATGTTTGAAATCTTTAAAATGTTTCAAGTTACACATTTGGAGTTATTCATGTTTTATAGGACAAATAGAACAGATGTAATATACATTTTATGTACTTTTTAAAAATGCATTTCAATATGACGATTAATAATTTGGTTTTTTACGTTATCTACAGAGGAGAGGGTAAGGCAGGCCAAAAGAAACGCTCTGTGTGAGAGCTGTGGGTCATTTACCTTAACGTAATACAACAGGCATTTAAAATGCTCACATACGGATATAAAGAGTCAAAATGGATTTACAGACATCTCAGCACACAAATAAAAAATATACAAACTATTGCACAATGGAGGTATCAGAGACGAGTACAGCATGAGTGGACGTCTAACGAAATGTTCGGGCGCGTGATGAAGACATGAGGCATAATGTTTTCGGCTCTGAACGACTTTATGCATTTAATATTGTCGAGCTTAAAATGGCCCTCATGATTTTTATACACAACACTGCAAAAATATCTTTGCAAGTAAAATAATCTTAAATCTTGCTGATATAGCTAATATTTTTCATTTTTCAATTATTTAACGTATACCTAAGCAGTTCTGTCTAAAGAAACTATTTCACTGGCAGAAAATTGAGCTCATTTTAAATATTTCTTCAAACAAGCACAATTGTATGCCAACAGAATAAGACAATTTCTCTAGATAATATGACTTAATACTATGATAATAACTATAAAACATACAGAACTAAGTTAAATAATCTTATAATAATCTCATAATGAGAAATATTAGATATATCGACTAGATTTCAGACATTGCCCTTGCCCAGACATCACTGGGCCTCATTCACCAGTACCTTCCTAGGTTTGTTCTTAAATTAGTTCTTGAGAAAAGTTCTAAGAAAAAGTCTACGTCAGATTCATGTCGTGTTCTTAAACCGCACAACTGTTCACACCTTTGTGCTCAAGTGTGTGTAGAATGTTGGACTCTTCGTGAAAACTCTAAGTGTGTTTTAAGAAGAAAATTCTTCTTAGGAACGACTGGTGAATGAGGCCCATTGTTTGCAGTACTATAGCTTAGTCCTGGCCTTTGCAGCACTTTCAGATGATGATTGCCTGTAACAGAGAGATGCAGGCCAGGAACAGAACGAATCTGGGTTGCTTTTGTTAAACTAGCCCAGCGTGTTCCTCGGGGTGCAAACTTAAAAAAAAAAAGTAATACTGTTTAAAGCAATGCTAAAGGAAAAGAGAAAGTTCAAGCAGCTACTTCTGATGACAGGAGGAAAAAGATCACAAGATGATTGGCTGAGAATAACGGTAGGTGCCAAGAACTGAAAGGTGGAGCACAATTTAAGAAAACAGCCTACCAAGAAATGATCAGCTATGTCACAGTTTTATAATTGGTAATTTTCTGAACAGCATCAACTTTACCCAAACATCTGCACACTATCAGCTGTGGCACCTGAATCTGGCTATTGTTCTGTCACATTAGCACTGAAGGGTTCTTAGCTTGCTTGAGTGAGCACATAACGTCTCCATGAGGCATAGAGTGAGAGAGATGGAAGTCGACTAAATGAGAACAAAACCACTTCAAAAACATGAATTATTAAAGTTATTACTATCCAATTAGCAAGACCACAGGCTTAAACATGCCCGACAGTACCACCAGCATAAGGTTCAAGTAAAATACAGTCAAAAAAAAAATCTTTTTCAGCAAAATAACGTGGTTAATACTGAAGAGTTAAGGGGGAAATAGAAAATAGCAGTAACTTAACTAAGCAGGTTAATTTCAATAATAAAGTGCTATTTAGCTGGGATTAGTTTTGCAAGGGGAGATGAGGTAATGAAGTTTTACCACAGAGCATCTGTAGTCTTTATTACACAGGATATGAAGTTTCTATATGAATCACAGATACAGGAGTGGCTACTCGATTTAACGTGCTGACGCCGCACCAAAACAGCTCCATACGCAATGCATTCGGCTCCTCGCAAGCAGAAAACATCCAATTTTTTGGAGCGATAGTAACATACCCTGTTAGAAATAAAGGTTCTGTGCCGGGACATTTTCATTCATCAAGGTATAAACAATGTAAATGGAGCTCAAAGGTACAACAGTGGTTTTAAGGTACCTTAAATAAGTTTTCCCAGGTGAAAAGTTTGTATTTGTACTTTTCATAACCGAATGTTTTAAAACAGAACAATAAAATAAAAGCCTGGAGACGAGACGGGGTGTGGAGTCAGTACAACTTAGAAAATATCATTTCAATGGATTATGGTACAATTATGTTCCCTGACTAAAGGTACTGAGATGAACCCTTGAGGGTACCACCCCGGTGACAAGGTGGGCACTGCCCCAGTGACAGTTTAGTACCTTTTTTTCTGAGAATGTACTGTAACTGTTTACCTTGCAGTCTTAAGTCAATGCAATGTGTTATTATCTTGAGAATTTACAGGTCAACACCGCTGGATGGATACATTTTTTCCTGTCATTTTTCATGTTTTAATGCTTGGTATACTTGAGGTAGGACAATGCAAAATGTCTTGATTTGGGCCATAGAGAATACAAGTAAACAGGGGTGTGCGTTCAAACTAATTTTGATATATGAGTATGCATTATGAACGGATATCTGGTTCACTGCAAATAAGAAAAAAGCAACAACAGAGTGGGAAATTAGTAAGGAAAACTCCTTTTCCACAGAACATATTAATAAAACATGTCTACTGTTCATTTTACAGCAAATAATTAATATAATCTGGCTTTATTTCTATGTCTTGGTTTACAGCACAGGATTAACACAACCCGGAGTTATTTCTAACCCATTTTATAGAAGGTAAATGTTCTCCATGCAAAACTAATCCCATTCAAATAGCACTCTAAGATAAACGTTTCAACTTTACTATGTTTTGAGGATTATGCTTATAGGCCCACGGACTCACTGGTTATGCTTTAACTTAATGATGTCAGTCATTTAAATAACGCAACAGTAACAGAAACAAACAGACATGAACTGGTTAATCCTTCCTAAATCTTTTCCACTGTCTGTCACCTCAGCACCACAAACATACTTGACCTGTGAGACAAAGCACTGCACCTTCTCTCTTATGAGATGCACTGTAGCACCGTAATCTGTTCGACCTGCAGTTTTACAGACACCAAACAGAACTGAAAGAAAAACGTACACTGTCATTTTGTTCCAGTCGTAATCAGATAGCTCTTTCACACACTTATCAAAGGCAAGCTTCTCATTGTTACGTACAGTGCTGTGACAAAGTATTTGCTCCCCACCTGATTTCTTCTATTTTTGTTAATTTGTCATGTTAATTGTTTCAGATCATCCAACTAATTTTAATATAAGAGAAAGACACGAGTAAACAAAAAGCAGCTTTCAAATGATCATTCATTTTACTGAAGATAAAGATTTATTCAAAACCTGCATCAACCAAGTGAAAAAGTAATTGCCCCCTAAACCTAATAACTGGCTGTGCCACCCTCGGCAGTAACAACTGCAATCAAACATTTGCGCTAACTTGTGATGAGTCTTTCACATCGCTGTGGAGGAATTTGGGCCACTCTTCTTCGCAAACTTGTTTTAATCTGGCTACACTGGGGGGTTTTAGAGCATGAACTGCCCGTTTAATGTCCTGCCACAGCATCTCAATGAGGTTCAAGTCAGTACTTTGACTCGGACACTCCAAAACCTTCATTTTGTTTCTCTTGAGACATTCAGAGGTGGACCTGCTTGTGTGTTTTGGATCATTGTCCTGCTGCACAGCTCAACTGCGCTTGAGCTTTAAGTCACAAACTGACGGATGGGCGTTCTTCAGAATTTTCTGACAGAGCAGAATTCATCGTTCCAACAATTAAGAGAAGTCGTCCGGGTCCTACCGAAGCAAAGCATCCCCAGACCATCACAATACCACAACCACGTTTGACTGTTGGTATCATGTTCTTATGGCTGAAGGTGGTGTTAGCTTTTCACAAGATCTAATGGGACCCATGTCTTCCAAAAAGTTCCACCTTTGACTCATCAGTCCACAGAATATTATCCCAAAAGTCTTGGGGGTCATCTAGATGTTTTTTGGCAAATGTGAAACGAGCCTTTGTGTCCATTTTGGTCAGCAGTTGTTTGCGCCATGCAGCTTTCCCATGGATGCCATTTTTGCCCAGTGTCTTTTTTACTGTGGAATCATGTACTCTGACCCTAACTGAGGCAAGTGAGGCCTGCAGTTCTTTAGATGTTCGTCAGTATTCTTTTGTGACCTCCTTCATGAGTCCGTCGATGCACTCTCGGTGAAATTTTGGTAGGGGGGGCCACTCCCTGGACGGCTCACAACTTTTCTGTGGATAATGACTCTCACTGTGATTCGCTGGAATCCCAGAGCCTCAGCAATGTCTTTGCAACCCTTTCCAAGCTGGCAGATTTCAATAACTTCGCATTTGTATTTGAATCTCTTTAGAACGTGGCATCGCGTGCTGCTTTTTTTAAACCTTCTAGCTGCTTCACGTTGCCAGGCAGGTTCTATTTAAGTGATGTTTAGTTTCAGCAGGTCTGCCAGCAGTCATGTCTGGGTGTGTCTAGTGAAACTGAGCCCAGTAGCCAACTGAATTTGGTTAACTGGTTGATTTAGTAGCTAAGGGGGAAACCACTTTTTCACACAGGGCCAGGTAGGGCTGAACAGCATGTTTCCTTCAGTAAATGAAATCATTTAAGAACAGCATTTTGTGTTTACTTAGGTTATCATTGTCTAATATTGAAAGTAGTTTGATGATCTTCAAGTGTGACAAATATGCAAAATAGAAGTAATTGGGAAGGGGTACATACTTTTTTACAGCACTGTATATCAAAATCCCTTTAATATGAAATGAGCTAACCAGTCCTGTGTAAGGTAGCATGCGACTGAACTTAGGAAGCAACTGAGGCCTCGCCCACATGTATTCGGATATTTTTAAAAACTATTTTTTTTTCTCTGCTTTTTGGGCTCCTGTCCACAAGAAAATGTCATTTTTGTCCACTGAAAAATGAGGTTTTTGACAATGCCCTGCAGGGTGGAGATCTTTGTGCAGACATGCAAAACGCTGTTTTTTTTTTTATATGCTGACATCACGCCACTAACTTGTGCATGTCATTTTCATGCACTGAGCAGGGAGAACTCTGGAAATGCTCACTAGTTTGGTGATGGTAATGCTTATAAGTGAAATTAGGTTTACTTTTTTTTAAACTATAGCACAAAGGCATCAAACTGTACCACAGTCATTTGAATGGAGTGTCGACTTGATTGTAAATATTACAAATTTCGAAAGATTCGAAAGCAAAATGATTCTAAAGATACAAAAAGTGATTATTAATAACCAGTAAAATGGTTAGTATTTCTTTTGCTTTTTTAAGTGTTAATTTTCTGGCAGAAACTTTGAGCCTGTGTGAAATGCTGGAATGTACGATAGCGTTTTAGAGCCACTGCTAAAAAAATAAAATAACAAACTTTGAGAATAAAGTCGGCTTTTCCAGAATAAAGTCGTAATATTTCGAGAATAAAGTCGTAATATTTCGAGAATAAAGTCATAGAAACACAACATTAAAGTGGGAAGTCACACTGTGGCCAAAGGGTTTGCAAAAGGAAGGTAGCAACTTCCTTGTGTTAAAATGAGGGATGTTGAGGAGACGGTAAAGTTACACTTTCGTATATTTTTCACCAATAAAGAAATACTCAGTCTCCCTGTCTCTTCTGGCAGATCAGCAGATTGTTATTAGTATAAGAAATTGCTGAAATGGCCGTACAAGAAACTGTGTTTATTTAGAAGAAAGAACCAGACGGACTCGCAGGAAATTGTCTCTATTGTTGAAGGAGAACTCGCAGGCAATGGTCGTCTACAAGCCTATCGGTGGTTACATCTCCTTGCCATTCAAAGAGGGCATGTAGTTTCACAGGAGACAATGAGAACGATAATCAAAATGATCGATCCTGAAGGAGCGGAACTCCGGTGCTCTCGGCTTCTTCGTCGTTGCCACTACAGAAACCGAGGCCCCAACATGTTATGCCAGCCCCCCGACAATTAGCCCCGAAACAACTCGAGTTTATTCTTGTAACTTTATGACTTTATGATAGAAATTACAACTTTACACTACAACTTACAACTTTAAATCACAACTTTTTCCTCGAAATATTACAACTTTATTCTTGAAGTCTATTATTATTATTTTTTTAACAGAGGCCCTAAAACGCCTCAAATGTCAAAGCCTCTAAGAAAATCTGTGTTTCAGCTTTGTGTTCTAGATGTTCTTCTGGAGGGGTTTGGCATTAAATTTTATAGGTTATAGTCGCCTGCACTGGGCTGGAATCCTCAAGTGAGCATTCTGAGTTGTTCTTAACGTTTTAATGTGGACGGAGAGGTTTTCAAAAACACAAAGACTTTTTAAAATGTTTTTAAAAATATCTGGACATGTCGGAGAGGCCCAAAGCAGACATGGACGATACTTAGGATGATATGCTTTCAGTCATTCTAGAGTTTCTATAGCATTTGTTTCTTTTTGTCCAGTAAAAGGGTTATAGTAAGGGGCTTTATTGACCAAACTCACGACTTATGGCTCTGTTAACAGGTTCACTAATTTGAGACACACATGCAGGAGCACACACTCACTCGCACACTCACGCGTCCACTCACACATTGACACCTTAAATAAACTATTTCTGTCAGAGTAGTGCAGGTTAATGCAGTGCATGTAGAATGAACTAGCCCATTCACAAAAACATGGGTTGCCCCATATCGACACGTCACATTAAAGTAAAAGGAAACGTTTGAACGGTGAGAACTCCCTATTTTTTTTAAACTCTCCGATCTCCAACACACACTACGTACTCACTCTCATTCACTCTATCTCTCTCTCTCTCTCACACACACACATTCACGCTTTCCTCTGGCTGCTGCAGTGGTGTGAGGAAGGTGCATGTGAGGACAGGGAGGTCAGGTGTTGGACATTTCGGCCTTGCTGAGGGCGATGGCCAGCTCCAGGTCTTCTTGCTCTTGCTGCCGGAGTCTCTTCAGCCTCTCTCGCTCTGCTCTCTCGCTCTCGCGCTTCGCCCACTCCATCTGCTGCGCCTCATTACCAAACTGACAGAGAAACAAACCACAGGGCCGCATGCTGTCAATACTAGCTTATGACCTCATTTTGACACTATTAAAGTTGCAGCTGATAGCAAGTACAGACTGTTTTGTCCTTAGACTAAAACATCATACATAGAATATTATCATTGTACATTAAACAGACAAGAAAATCACAAAATCTCAAACCACAAACAACTGTATGTGCACTCACTGGCGACTTTATTTGGAACATCAACTTCGTATCTACACTCATTGTTCATTTTTTTAGGTCTACTTCCCATATTGGGTACTGAGAGTCAGTGACCGCCCTTCCAGTCAAAACAGTCATTAAGTGAAAGTTATTCATTTTTTAGGTTCAGAAAGAGCAGAAAACAAATGTAAAAGAAAATTTTATTGCTAATTTTAATTAAATCATTTTATAAATCATATTGGTCACATACAGCTATGATACATGTGACATGAGACATCGCAATCCAAGTAATCCCAAACATATTCAATGATGTTGAGGTCTGGACTCTGGCATGGTCACACCAACGGTCTGAGAACACCATTAGCTTCTTTGATAGGTTTGCAAATGAATTAATAATTTGCACATTAGACTAGAAGGAAAAAGCACACTAACAAACTAAGTTGGCTTGACTAAGCTGTTGAAATCCCAGGTGGTTGCTAAGGTGTTGCTAGGCCATTCCTACGGCCTGTATGTAATGTCTACGAGGGTCAGTGGGAAAGATGTCCTTTGTGACATAATTTGAAGCACATAAGATTATATATATTTAAAAAACAGAATCCTAAAATCTGATTGGCTGAAAAACTTAAAATCCACAGTTCATACACACAATTCACGCACCTGTGACCGCCTCACAACAACTGAATTGTATATCACTACGCCAAAGCACAAAAACCCTTGTGCTGATAATGGAATAATCTTTGTCTGTAATGCTGCTCGCATGGACCACCGAGTATACTGATGAAGTAAGAACCTGTTTTTTGTTTAAACTGAGGGGCTGGCAACTTATGTTCCTAAATAGAACTAGGCTGGTCAGCTAGCTAACAGGCTAAAAGAGCCAACAGCCTAAATAGCTCCATCATTAATATCACAGGCTTGAATTAAAGTAACTACAGTATGATTAACTGTAAAACGGCAGTATAAAAGTCTAAAAACGTCACTTGAATGTCTTACACGCTTCAAATGTTCATGTTTCAGTCAGAAGTCGCGTCAAACCCAGGCTGAATCCCAAACGGCTCTGTACTCCCTAAATAGTGTGCTAGTTATTAAAGTTTAGAAATTCTAGCCTCTACAGCCAACAGTGCATCATTTATTAAGGATGGATGTGTCTGAGTCCCAAATGACTATTTCTTAGCTATATTTTGCTCTGTTGGGCTGCAGGATCCAGTATTTAAATCCCTACGTAGTGCACTATGTAGGGAGCAGGGAGCCATTTGAGATTCAGCACCAGTGTGAGAAGAAGGAGCCGCTGGTGCTAAATACGACCAAAGCGTACTTCTAAAGCGAAAGTATCTGCATTCAACAGTGCTGTTATCAAATGTTCATTGTTATACGACGACAAGTTTAAAAATTCATGAAATGACCGCAATATACAGCGATGGGGGACTGAACGTTTCCTCCTCATTCAGCCGTCCATGGTTGCTTGGCAACGAGACCGTACTTTAAAGGAAGTACATTTCTTGGCGAAATACTTGTTTATGTTGATTATTATTAATAATAACTTAAATTATGCCTAAGAACACCCTTCCTGTGATAAAATCACAGTAAAGCACGACCTCTTGTGGCTTATTGCTTTAATATATTTTTAACATACTTCCCTTCATTCCTTATAGGGAAAAACTTTCAGTGAACACTACATACGGAAAGCATACGTGCGAACAATCCCAAGAACACAAGCACATTATTCCTGTATAAGCTCAACGATCCTGCAAAGTTTTGTGGTTCTAGCTTGAAAACTGTGACCCATAAAAATGGTAATAAAAAAGACTAGAATAATAAAATGAAGAAGAGTAAGCTGTCTTTGTCCTATTTAATTTGTTTTTAACAAAATTTGGAAAATCTTGTTTCCTTGGACTTTCCCCTTCTTTATGCTAGTGGATAATCTTACATCTAATCTCTTGAGAAACATCTGAAAAACAGTTAACTTTATGGTTGTTTGGACTGGAAATTAAACAAATGAAGGGTGGTCTCTGGCTTTTGCACAGTACTGTATATCGTAAGTGCAGCTGAAAAAAAGGACAAAGAATGTAGACACAAAGCAGGTGTACCTAATAAAGTGACCCGTGAGTGTATATCAGAACAATAATGCAAGACATTATTTGTGCCTGCCAAAAACACTTAAACAAGCACTGCTTGCCAGATCCATGATTTGTGATCTAAAATTTTAATTTGTAGTTTGGATGAAATCCCAGGCACTCTGTGGTTAGACAAAACAAGCTAAGATTCAATTAAGAGTCACATGATATGGCGACTATGGGAAAGTCAGGGGAATGTTGTCCTGAGGCCAAAAATGTGGACTGCTGGAAAATTCAACAGCTCTAACAAGAAATCTTAAATTAAGCTAAAAACGAACAATAAATAAACCAAGGATCATACTTCAAAAATAAGAAAGAGCCAGCTTCTTCAGATTTTATGGTTCTTCCTTGTGGCAACTCTGATTCTATTGTGCATCTCTGTTGTTATGTTTCTAAACTAAATGTTACCAAGTCATGAGACCATTTACACCACCTCTTTCTCCTACTATGCCTGGGGAATTCTACAGACAACGCTCTTTCTCACATTATGATTGGGATTTACAGTTCAGGAAAGATGAATGGAAGTTTTATTCTTTTTTAAATGTAGTTATCAGTGCTAAGTCTATATTTACTGTATACATTCTTACACCAGAATTCCTGAATCTTTCTTAGCTATAACTTTCTTTAGCTATAACTATTTTTTTAGGGCAGTCAAAGTTATCACACTAATAAAGGGCTAATGTGATTAACGCTGTTAAGGCATTTTTCTTAAGTAGAAAGATCTCCAGGCTGAAATCCAGCCTTAGCATGCTGTATGCTGCTATGAAGGAATCCAGGATTGCGGCCCTCTTGTTCGAATACGGATGTTAAACGGCTTTTACACTGAAGCCATAGGCTGGGCGTAAACTTCACGACTTTTAAAATCTTAACAGATTTCTAAAATGGAGAGCATCACAAACTTATTGTCAGTGTGTCACAGAATTTCTTGTCTTTTTGTCTCGAGGGCATTCAGACTAGATAATTAAAAAAGAGAAAGCGTAACACACATAACGAGTTCAGGCTACGAATAAGAACTCAAACTCCCACATCTCCTCAGATTACATATCACACACAAAGCTAAACTTACTGGACCGGACCTTCTAGCTCTCTGTTTGGCTGATGTTTGAATCAGTCACCGAGTTCATCTGTGATCTTCTCACACTACAGGACTCGTGAACGTTTTGAGTCGTAAATATCAGACATTTGATAATATTTTGATATATATATTTGATAATATCGGAGGGTCACTTCAGAGGTCGATCGGAGGGCTAAACGTTCACTTTCTCCGCTCACACTACCAGATCATCTGTGCCGTCGGTCGCTTCCGATCGAGCTCCTAACCAGGAAAATCGCTTTAGATTGTGAACATTTGTCTCAAGGGGCAAATCAAGCTTAAAATGGATAAATCAATGAGCAGCAAACTAAAAAGAGAGCTCATTAGTTGTTTGAATGACAGCAAGAGCAATCACAGAGCAGCTGAATCATTGGCTTATATATACTATATATATATATATATATGTACTTATTGGTTGGAACATATAGCCACTATTACTCTCTCTGGACATTAGTGAAGGAAAATGGAATTTAACTCGTTCAGTCATGTGACCCTTGCGTTCACAAGGTGACAAAAAAATGTTATTAAACGATTGAAAGTACTAAATACATTCTAACAAAGCTTCTTTTGCCCTCTCGCATACAGTACTGTGCAAAAGCCAGAGAGCACTAAGTACAAGCTATTCATATTTCAGGAGATATTTCTGAGGAGATGAGATATAAAATAATCCACTTGCAAAAAGAAAGGAAAAGTCAAAGATAAACAAACAGGAGTAGTCAGAACTTAAAGCTGTCATCTTTGAGAGAGAGGAGAAAATCAAGCTGACTCAGATCTGAAAACATCCACAGGTGTTTCTGTCCATCCTTCCACTGTGAGAAGACGACTCAGCTCTGTGGGTCTGAAAGGATGTGTAGCTGTTCAAGAAGAACCTCACTGAGAAAACGAGACGGACACATCAAACAAAGAAGCTGCTGGTGTTCACAGAACCACAGAGTCCAGACCTCAACACTGAATGTGTTTGGGGTTTCCTGGACTGTGAGAAACAGACAAGGCAACCCACGTCTAAGACTGAACTTTGGAGGTGTCAAAAAATACCCCTGCAGATTTCTTTCAAAAACTGAAAGAAAATAATCTCTGACTTTTGCACAGTACTGTATCTATAACAAAATTCACTGTTTTACATGTAAAAAAACATGCAAATAACCTTGATTAACTACACAAACTAATGTGATTAATCAGGTTTAATTATTTTACAGCCCTATTTTTTTCATTCAGAAAAGGAATCTAATGATCCAGTACACAATCACAGCATGCAGTGACTGAGCACATCTGCTTCCTCTGCAGTTTGTGTGATACATAACCAAAAGGGACAGAATCTACTTCGCCACATTTTCAGATGATCTTACCTTAACTCTGTCAGTCCCTGTAAAAGAAAATTAGATCATAAAGAAAAAAAAAACACACAAACAAAAGAGAGAGAGATACAGCAAACTGCCACACACCATTCACTTAACTGCACACAGACAAATGGCTCGGTGGACACTGAATAGACCACTAACACCAATGACACATGATGGATCTTTTAATCAGGCTTTTTTGATGAAAGGAATGATCTCGTTGGACAGGGGAAAAGAAGCATGCACTGATATGAAGCTGGGAGACAGTGACAGAA